ACCACAATCACAACGCAGACGTCCGCCGAGGGATCGCCACCGTCTTCAAAGTCTTGGTTGTGCGATCGTCTCGTCTACTTCACGAGCTGGCGGAGCGATGTGGCTGGCAGGGCCTGTACGCGCACAATCAGATAACCGAACTCGCATCAACCTTCCAGGGGAACTCCGTGGCCGAGGGCGACACTCTCGTTATAAGTATTCGTAGGTCTTCTTCATACACGAGCTTAGATATGGGTCCTGACACCTCATAGGTCTTGCTTCAGAACTCCTCATGAACAGATATGGCCTTCCACAACCGACTGATCCGACAGGATCTCTTGCCATGTATGAAGCCGGGATGATCGAAGAGGTTGCGAGAGACAAAAACCTTGCACTCGGCGACTCCGGCAGCTTGAGGGGCACGACTTATAACAACAGCGTTCTCCCTCGATGCAGAGCAATGGTGGAGGCCATTGGACAGCGCATGGCCTACGAGGCAGCCCGGGCGCAAGGCAACATCGCGCCCGAGGTGCTCAACGTGTTTGAAAAGTCTTGCATTCAGAAGGATCCATCCTGGTTTGTCGAACATGGCCACGGCACTCGATCTGCGTTGCGGGACAACGAGAACAGGGCATACTCCAACTTGCTGCCCCTCTTGCCCACGCTGGTGGAAAGAACCAATGCTAAACACTACATCACGGCGCCGTTGGTTGAAGAGGGAGACATGGAAGACTTCATCAAGACCCTGCCGGCTTTTGGGGCTCGTACGGACGACGTGGTAGCAGAGCGGGCCCCAAAGTCCAGACTTTGATGTAGAAACAATCCAAATACTTTAGGTTTATCACTTGCATCTGTCTTCTCGCCATGTTTCAATGTTGCATATCGCCGCGGAGATGAGCGCGAGGGCAGGACGGTTTGTATGGCTAGTCTTGATGGTATGAGTCTAGCGTCCTTTCTACTTGCAGAGCCGTGACATGACGCCCCGCGAGAGGTATTTTGATAGCATAGAATTCACTCGCAGTGCTGGCTCGAAGATATCGGCGAGAGAACTATACTTGGAGACGTACGTATACGGGTTTTCTTATCTACTTAGGTTATGTGGAGACAGAGAAAAAGTCCGAATGCAAGGTGAGAAAGATGGCGCTGATCAACTACTGATAGATGAACACTCGTCCACATCCTAGTCCTTCGGACCTGGGGCTTGAAATACAGACTCGCTGTACGGTCCCTTCTCCATTCCTACGAGCCCATTCTCGGCTACGTATTCCCTGGCGTCGATCGGAAAGCGCCGTAGCAGGTTCCGGAACTGCTGTTGTTGGTTCTCCGATATGGGGAAGCGGTCGTCTCTCGCTTTGTAAGTCTTAGCTAGAGCGATGACCAGGTCCTCCTCTTTCTCTGAAGGAAAGGCCTTCATGGCGCGCCGCCATTCGCTCTCCGCACGAGGCACGAGGTATTCAAAAATGTCAGCGATGCAGCCGTTTCCTTCGTACGGGTCTTGGCTGATGTCCAGGGTAGCCTTGGTCAGCTTGCCGTACTTTTCCGACTTGGGAAAGCCAAATTGCGTAATAGGTACATCAAAGATGCGCCGCTCATCAAAT